TTTCTTTTATGCTTACTTTTCGAGAATAAAGGAAACCGAAAAAGGTTCAATCTAACATGATTATAAGCTATAATTACATATAATGCAATGCATCAAAATCAAACTTTTGTCATAGTGCTTCTGTGATAGTTTAGGATAACTGGTCAGATTTTAAAGAGTACGCTGATGAACTACATAAAAACGGAATGCATTTGGTGCTCATTTTCGATCCTGCAGTGCAAGTAAATTATTCCAGCTTTCACAGGGCAATTAAAAAAGTAAGCTTGATTTCTGTAATTTAATTTCTGCTTAACAATCCTATTTTTAAACTCGTAGTTTGTAAGTAATGTTATCGCATCATTGCTATTATTGAGAAGCACTAAACGAGGTTTTTAATGCAGTATTTTTTATAAGTTATTGTGGCGAGCAGATTTTAGTGCTACTACAAAAATAAAAGATTAATAAATCCCAAGTTGTTAAAGAAGTATGCTGTATTCTAATTCAGATCTTCTGATTTCAGAATGTAAGTTTTATAGAATGGGAGAATTATAATCAAGTACAACGTGAAATTCAGAGCAAATATCCACTAACAAAAGGGACAAAGGTTAGTTCTATAAATGAATTTTTAATTATTGACTACTTGAGTTTAACAGTCATGTTTAAATTCAAAACGGGATTAAATTTGCGTTACTTGAATTGTGTGGATCTCGTATTTAGATAATGCTTTCGGTTGTGTGGCCGGACTGGCATGTTGCTTTTCCTGATTTTCTGGATCCAGAACCGACGACAGTAGAATGGTGGATTGAGGAATTCAAGCTTTTTCATCAAATGGTTAATAGCTTTTTGAATGGCATAAAAAACTAGGCGTACTGTCATTCATTGCTTTCCCGAATTCATTTAAAGAATATTTTGAGGTTCCGTTTGATGGTATTTGGATCGATATGAATGAGCCTGCTGCTTTTGGCACTAACGAATATCATCCATTTTATTTTGATGATCCAGAAAGACCAGCAAAGATAATACCGCTTAAGTGTCCTATCAGCGGTACCGCATCGAAATATGATAATCCGCCTTATGAAACTTGGAACTCTTACGCCTACAATTATGCTGAAGCTGCACGTTTTTCACTTTTTTTTGTAATTTTTGGTATTTCACAAACATAATGCTACCTTCGAGAATTTACGGATCACGATAATTAGCTTTGCAATTCACCAAAATTTATGAAATGTCTGCCTGAAATTCACAGACTTAGAGATCGTTGCCATTTCAGCATTTATCAAATAAAACTGTGTGTATGTCTGGGATGACAAATAGAGGGACTCAGAGAGTTTACAATACGAAAAATTTGTATGGATTAGCAGAAACAATAGCAACTCAAAAGGCGCAGCATGCAGCAACAGGAAAGAGAGGAGCAGTTATATCCAGGTTTTTTCCAGTCTTTCACTGGAATTTGAGGGTTAATTTTAAGTGCTGCACAGTCAACTATTTAGGATATCAAAGAAAAAGGATAAAGAGATGAGGAAGACTATTTTAATCCGACTTTTGAGCCACCTTTAACTGAAAATAATCGATTTTACGAACGAATAAATTATGATTTAAGAAAGTGAGCTCATATAATAACGCAGCTCATATATAAAATTTTGCAAGTATTTAATGATGATGAATAATCGAAATCGGGTAGCCCATTGATTAAATATATGAAAATATGTCAAACTGGGGGTTGTTACATGTTGAGTTAATGAAATCCTGACTTTGAAGTAAATGAAATATCGACATTTGATTATAACAAAGTGAAGCAGCCGGCTAATTATCTTGGATAATGAGTTCATCTATTAGATCCACATTTGTTTCATCGGGGCATTATGGTGGCCATTGGCTCGGTGACAATAGTGCTCGCTGGATAGACTTGAGAGCTTCCATTATTGGTATCCAAGAATTTAATTTATTTGGTATACCATACATTGGCGCAGATATTTGTGGTTTCAATGGAGAAACAAGCGAGGAATTATGTTTGAGATGGCAACAACTAGGTGCATTTTATCCCTTTTCAAGGTAAAGGTTTAATAACTTTTAAAAACCAAGGAACAATACTTAAAAAATGAATTAAAGTTGGCATTATTCAGAAATCACAATGAAAAAGGTGGAGCAAGTCAAGAACCATCTCGATGGCCAGATGTTTCAAGAGCCACTAGAGAAGCTAATCTTTTCCGATATTATTATCTCCCATTTCTTTACAGGTCTTTTTTTGCTTTCTCCATTTTATTAATGCTTACTCCATACTTTGTTAGAAGAAGTATAGCTATTTTAATGCGATTCATTCTTCAGCTTACTGTTTGATGTGGCATTGCATGGTGGCACCGTTGTTCGACCAGTTTTTTTTGAATTTACCTCTGATCCTGAAACCCATGATCTCGGAGAACAATTTATGTGGGGAAGTGCAATGATGATCGTCCCAGTATATCAGGAAGTAATAATCACTCAAATCAGCCTGGTTCTAATGATCACTCAAATCAGAGCAACAAACTTAAATTTAAACAATTTTACAGGGTGCTACATCTGTATCTGGTTATTTGCCGTCGACAATATGGTACTCTCTTCGAGAATTTGACTATGGCATACTAGCAAAACCAGGCCGCAGTGAATTCAGAGCACCGAAAGATGAGCTCATTCCTGTTTTTGTTAAAGGTGTGACTCGAAAATACGGAATCGTTTTTTATCACAAATTACATATTTTGAAGATAACTTATCCAGTGCTAAACTTTCATTACCTTTAATCTAAAGTTGCTTCAAGTACTTCTGCTTGCTCCCTTTCTTTTCTATCAGAACAATTACAATTACAAAAACTTATGAAGCATTTCTATCTTCTTTCTTCATTACTTATACTTTTCTTCTCGAGAAGAAAAAAAATTAAATTTGTGGAAAATAGTAGCCTTCAGTATAAGACGAATGAATAGACATTCTTTTTTAATTCAGGAGGTGTCGTAATACCACGACAACAACCAAATATGACAACCACTGTTTCAAGAAATAATCCTTTTGAATTGCTTATCACAGTTGGTATGAAATTTTAATGTCACTGAATCTTGCTTCTAAAATACATACGGCAGGTCCAAAATCCTATGACTTAGCAGAGCAGATCCATTGAGAGATTTTAACAGCTTATCATTTTTAATGACCACTTACTGGATCCTTAAATGTTTTCAACAGAACAACGCTTTAAAACATTGAAAATGAAAGGGAGATATAGCTGTATTTTCACTGTAGCACCAACAATGATTAATTGTTTATATATTAAAGTTTAAAGGGATGAAGTGAAATGAAGCTACTTAAGCTATAATTGTTCTTGTATGGTGGAAGGAAGTTATATTTCAGGTTCGAGTAAGTCAACTGGTATGCTATATTGGGATGATGGTGAAAGTATTGTGGAAGATTTTACAGCATACAATTATTTCCACTGGTTATTCGAATTTGTACTCAGTGCTGACAGGGCTACTTTATATATCACTCCAAACCATACTGCTGTTAGCACTTTTCCGCTTTTTGAAGTTTGAAGGGATGTGATACAGGGTAAACTATGAAACAGATAACTTTACCATCAACATGATGGCGTAATAATTCCTAACAGCATTTGCAGAAATCCAATTATAGATAGGATTGGTAGTACCCACGTTAGATGTTGTGGATGTTATCGGTTACCGTTATCAACCAAATTTGAGTGAGGTATGGCTCAACGGTATTCCAGTCAAAATCGACATTCAACAGTCGCATTACGACAGTTCAAAAAATCGTTTACTGATTGTGAAGAAGAATTTGGTGAAAATCGCCAATGGAAAAAAGCAGATATTATCCTGGTCTCATCAAAAAGCATTTTGTGACAATGTTCAGTGCTGATCATTTCATTTGTGCATTATAAGATAGACTTACAATTCAAAATCCTTATAACCTTTTGAAAATTAACACCACCGATGTTAACTAGTACAATTCGATTATTGTCATTAATATAAAATGATGTGATGCGACCGCTATGCTATCTTTTATAGTAGATTTAAGTTTGCGCAACAGACAATATTCTGGCCACTACCGCATCTCCATCGCGGGTTGACACTGCATTGTCAACCGCTACGTTTAGTGGTATAAGAGGAAGGGACGGGAGAAGCTACAAGCGTGTGTAAATATTTGGATGGACAAATATTAAACGTTTTCCAAGGGAATAATAAACAAAGAGGAAATGCCTAATTCAAATACATGTTGCAAGAAAGGTAGGGAAGTAAAGCTGTTAAATAGGTAAGCAGTGACTGAAGGTATAATGTAGGAGTCAACCAGTAAGAAAGCACATAATGCCTTCCTGCCCGCAAAAAAGCATGAAATGGGCATCAGTCAAAGGAAAAGCTTTGTGATGAACGTAGATTACGTACTCAATTCCGAAGTTCCGTTGCAATATGTTTGACGATCGGGGAAAGATATGCATTTTGCAAGTGTAATCATAAGTCAGTTACGTTTGTAGAAAACTATAGATCTAAGTAAGTAGGAGAGAGCATGTTTTATATAAAACTTATTTAGGTAGAGTCATGCTGTTCATCGTGCGACATTAGCAAAACCGGAACTTCTTGAAGACTATGAAACGACTTCCAGTTTGGCTCCCTGTCAACCTTATTAGGTGTGGTAACTCAACTTGACCTTTACAACTACTCTATGACCAATATGAGATCATCGTTTTCATAACTATCATGGCAGTGGTATGCTTCAATCCTCCTTGTTCGGAACGGAACTTTAGAAGATTCGGTACTGCGCAAAAAGACTTGCAAGTTTGGACGGATGGATAAATCTGAGGAGGAAATGTGAGGATATGTTCATCAACCGGTTCATGATTCACAGATATTCTTACAGGAGGTGAACATTTACACTGTTCACATTATTAAGACTTGGAAGTTCCTGATAAATTTGACTTTGGGAAGTGCTTTTGTCCTTGAGGAACATTGTTCAAGTGGAGCGTGATACCAGTAACCATCACGTATCACGTTATGTCGATCACAGATGTTGTGGAGACAGATCACCATGTTGCTGAGATCGTACCATCTATGGAGGACAGCAGTGCGAGAGTCATTGAAGATCGGCCGCAGGAGGAGGTAAGTCAACCACCTGGAATAGCTTTGGATGGTATGACATTAAATTGCAAGAACGAACATTTCTTCTCTTTAGGGATCGGATGAAAAACAACAAAGTCAGAGTTGGATATCTACAAACAAGCCTACTTTGTTAAGTCAAGGTTTGTTTGCCTTTTCTGGTGAAACTAGTGATGATTTTTTTTTTTTCAGTAATCTTTTGTAGCATTTAATATTAGTAGCTTTGAATTTCATTTCAGGTATTGCAACAGAAGCAACGTGTTCACTTGAAGCCTCAGAGGATTATGCCTTGCACTACCTTACACGATCTGTTGTAAAGATGATGGATAATATTGGTTTTTCAACATGTCACGAATCTGTCCTAAACATCCTAACCGATGTTTGTAGACGGTACATGGAGAAACTTTGGATTGATTCAAAATTATTCGCAGAACACGGTGACTTCATGAATATAATATATCGTAATCACACTTAGTAAATGAATTGTTATCGTTTATTTGAACTGAAAATATGTTTTTTTTTTCTTTAGCTGGTAGACGATTTCCAATCTTTGAAGATGCAAATATGGTTTTTGGAAAACTGATGTTCAGTGCAGCAGAATTGCACTCATTCATGAAGCAGGTCCAATGTGATCCTTTTGAAAACAACGTAAGTTCATTTTCGAATTGCTGTTTTTCTTCATCTTATTTTATCTTGAATAGTTGCTCACAGTTTTTTCATTTTAAGGTGCCGCTTTTCCCAGTTAGAAAATCTTCGCTAAACCTGCTCAGTATGTACGGACCAGTATCAGATAAAGAATTGGCAGAACGACCAGAACATATACCTCGTTATTTTCCTGCTATGCATCGAGAATGGTGTTCCAGTCATATGGGAGGTGACAGTTTGCTTTTTGAGGTAACTTCACGCATTGATGGTTTGTTAATTTGTATATTATTTTGCAGTTCGGGCAGTCGAAGTTTCAGCAGTGAAAGGTGCAACACGCAGGTCAGCGCAAAATTGCAGATCTACATCCCGGTGAGCGAAATCTTTGGTTTAAATTTATTCGTTCTTGAATTTTAGAAAATTGGTATTAAGTTCCTTTTTTTTCCTTAATAGTAAAAAACCATATTTCTTCTTTAGTAGGTTTTCTGCATGCGAAATTTTTATTTGAATCGTTTATGAATGTACAAAAGATGAAGCGTAAATATTAAACTCTTACTCATTTTACGTTTATTTTTATTTGTATTATGAGATAAAAGGTTTTTTTTTTTTTATTGTAAGATGTCATTTTTCAGGGGAAGGGTGGCAAAAGCGAAGATCTCTTTCCCTGACTTTAGTGGGTCGACAGCTAGAGAATTGGGATTTGTGCGCCCTCAAAAACTGCCATCCAAAAAAGTGGTTGAAGAACCAAGTGGTATTTCAAGTAGTGCCAATATCGCAGCTTTGCAGAAGTTGGATAGCTGTTCTAATAGAACAAAGTTTAGAAACTGGTCGCTTCATGAAGTGAGATATATTTAACGATACTTTTTTCGGAATATAAATGTTATGAGCAACTTTATCCACTTATTTATCTATATTGCAGCCTACCAGTAGTTCAGAGCATTGCGATGAGCATCATATGAAAGCGGAAAGTGTTAAAGAGAAGGATGTTCCAGATAAACCTTTCGCACAAGTAACAGTGGTTCTCGTGTCTAGCGTTATATTCTGTTATCTTTGAATTTGTTGTACATCTTGCAGGCAGAAAATTTGTATAACTTTTTCTTGTATTATCCTTAAGAATAATTAAATTATTAGTTGGTGATGATTGCAGAGATCGATTGGTATGTTTGGCATGCCACCATCAACCTTGGTACACCCAGAGAGTGTTGTGAATGAAAAGATGAAAAAGAAAAAGAAGAGAGATAGAGATCGAGATAAAGACCGAACTAAGGAGAAGAAAGTAAAGCTTCGTGACAAAGAAAAGGTTAAAGGCAAAAGTGTTTATCGTATTTTCGTTTGTGATGTTAGTTATATGTTCATGTATACGGGTTTTCTTTTACCATAACCATTATACATAAGGAATTTTCCAGGAGGAAAATCAAAGTACAAGTAGATCAATTCCGGTTTCGATTAAATCTCATGTAAATGAAAAAGCAAGTGCGAGTGCAAATTGTTCAATTGACGCTGAAAATGATGGTCAAGGCATGTAATTGTTTTTTTTTTTCCTTTTTTTATTTTGGCTTTTTTTTTTCACTGTTTAATAATTGCTACGGAACTTTTGCTGGATGAGTTCAAAGTTAATTGGTTTAAAGGGAGCGATATGCTCGTACAAATTTCTACTGCACTTGAGGAATCAGTTGTATAACTTTATGTAAAGAGGCATTAGAGCTGTGGAATATGAACATTTGGACCGGCTGATTTCATTATAAAAGTTTAATCAGACTACGGATTGTGTATTTCCCGAAATCTGTCTAAAATAATATCAGTCATTGTTAGAATTGCTATGTTTTTACATTGTTATTTACTCTGACAATTCTTATGATTAACATACAGTAACTTAGATTACAAATATGGTTTAGTCTTGATTGGCAAAAATACTTTAATTGCCAAAAATTCACTGGTCTTTTCTTTGGACTGTGCAATTTATTTCAGTTAAAAAATCAGGGAATAAACAACCGGATGTTCCTTTATCATTGCATAAACGACCAAGTTCCTCTGAACAGTAAGTATCGTTCCTATGAGTTGATTCGATAGTTTGAAGATGAAAGTTGCTGTTTTTTTTGTGAAGCATTTTAAAAAAGTTTTCTATATTAAAGTGATCTACTTATTTCATAAACAGTGTTTATTTGATATATTTTAGTCGTCAAATAGAGCGAGATGAGATTGATTTAAAGAATGTTGCGAATGAGAAACCTGTTATAGACCTTCATTTTTCTGACACTCTTCCCGAAAGTGATGAAAAAGGCGTAACAGTTTGCGGAAAGGTTATACAATGTTTTTCGACATTATGTTTTCAAATTTTTTCTTTTTTGATATCAGACACAGTTTAGCTGAAAGCCTATAAAATTCCAATATAAATCTTTTTTTATGAGCATTAATTTAGGGTCCCAATGTTTTTCTTTTTTTAATTTAGAATTTCTAGATGTTTTGTTTGCTATAAAGTGACAGCATTGCATATTAGTAGAATAAAAAAAATAAGAAAAGTAGAATTGTATATTTAGTAGAAACAAAATCCATTTTTGCCGTCGTTTCTTGAGCTAAATTTTTGTCTGATGTAAGATGATTCCCCAGTCACAGTAATCACAGAATTCATGTTATTTCTTCAACTTCAACTATTACAGCTGAAAAAGGAAGTTAACATTTTTCAGGTGGACAATAATGATAAACATGACCAACCAGTGAACATAGGAGTAAATGACGGTCACACTCCTAGTGGTGTTGATTTCCAAATGACTGAAGTATTGATACCGCAACAGTTCGCAAATAGGTATGTACAACGTATGCCGATTAAATGGTTCGTGTTTTATTTACTGGATGATCAGTCATTCTTCATAGTTATTAGACAATGAGTATTCGTGACTTCTGTGAGCTTTGCTTGCCATTATCAATAATACAGCGCATCCCAACGGCTTATATCAACAAATTTGCATATAATTGCAAATGTTATGTAATTGCACTTTTTCTTTATTACTGTTGCTGTCTCGAAACTTAAGCGGTTGCTCCGGTTTCTCTCTATTTTTTCTGGAAAATTTTCAATGGATCGTTTTGTAAATCGTTTAATTTTGAAGTTAGTTTGCTTTAAGCCATACTTTCTCATTCTCCCTCACTAGTTATGTCTTTTTCTGTTTTTTTTTTTTTTGATTTTTATTACAACTCTGGGAAAGTGTTATGTTTAAATTTCACGGACCTATGCATGGCTTATAAGGAACGTATTATAATAGTTAAATTTATAGAACTGGTAATGTAGAGGACGATGATACTAATGGCGACAGTAAAGCTATAGAAAAAGTGAAGGAAGAAGGATTGAAGGATGAAGCTAGGAAAAATGATAAAAGAGGTACGAGTAAAAATACGCTAGATGAAATTGCTAAAGGGAAAATAGAGAAGTGTAAAGTTGAAGAGAAAGATAGTGAATGGAAAAAAAGTTACGAAAAAGACAACAATAGAGAACTCCTTATCTGTGATTTTCGGTGGCATGGCGAAAAGCTCAGCAGCTGATAATACTTCTCTGTCTCATAAGTCATCTTTTTTTATGTTTGTCTTTCATCAATATAATTTGTAGAAAATTTATATCAGAGATTTATGCATACTGTATTTTCTTTAGTCTTTACTTTTCATTAATACTTGTAGCGTTAATATTTGATTTCTCTAAAGTTATTTGATATGACAATTCATGTCATATTCTGTTGTGACTAAAACGCATTTAGGATAGGTGGTATCAGCCTTCTGACAATGATTTAGAATCCATATTTTTACTCATTATTCCTTAGCTAATTAAGATATATATGAAACGAATCAATTTGCTTCATCTTCCAACAAATAAGTAGTAATGCTTTTATATCGTCTTCGAACTTTTTGAATATTCCATCGTTCTTTCTTATTTTATTGGGCTGTGCATTCCACTGCGTATACTCGGACATGACACTAATTTCTATGATTATATCAAGTAAGCGAGATGCAGTATTGATTACAATTAATTTAAGGGCTGCTTTTTCTAGTTATTTCTTTTCAGAAGATCTCAAAGCACTCAAGGTGGTTTTATCGAGGACAACTGGACAGAAACTATTCACTGCATTATCACCTTCCAGTATGAACTTAACTCTTGTTCTCAGACATCTTTTTTGTTTGATCTCACTTTACCACGCATCTTTGTTTTGTATTTTAGGTGACACGGGACGGGTCGCCAAAGATGCAGAGCAGAAACATGGCCCAGGAAAAGTTGCAGTTGATAAATCACGGATTGCAGAAAGTATATGTGAGAAAAAGAAAAAGCATAGGAAGGTAATTTTACATTGACAGTGGAGTAGTATTGTGGTTGATGGCTACCGAATTACTGTTAATTACTGTTAACTGATTGATTTAAAGGAGAAAGATCGAGACAAACATCACAATAAGGAGCACAAACGCAAAGATAAAAAGAAGTGCAAAGAACATAAGAAAGACAGAACGAAAGACAAAGAGAAGAAATATATTAAACTAAGGCCTGAAAGGGTCTGTTTAAAGCGACCTGGCGAACAAATCCGTAAGTCTTTCAAAATATTTTTGCATTTTCTCATGTCCACAGTGTGCAAATCAGTTATTCCACACATGTCAGCTTTGTAATTCTTCACATTTTCCAAATAATAAAAGTGAATTGGTTTATGTCCTTTTATTGTTTTAGCTTAAGATTTATCATTTTTCGTAAATTACTCACTGAACAAAATGTCTTGTCAATTATTCAAACAATGTATTACAGTGCCAGATGAAATGTCTGCCCCGAAAATACCTAAGTTAAAAATCAGATTTGGATCTAATTCAAGTGGCATTACTGGTTCGCCAACAAGCATTGTCTCTGCAACTTCGCCGACACCTCTGACTTCTGCTTTGTCGTCTACCCAACTGCAAGTTTTTCCATAAAAAATTATGCCGTGTATTTTCTTCAACTTCCTTTTTTGTGTTTTCAATTGCTGCTTTTTATTAATATTTTCAGATCAGAGAGAAATATTCCCTCATTAGACGATCGAAACATTCAAGTTATGCATCCTGCAATCAAGCTAAAAGGTGCAGAGGCTACCAGTCTGTATACATCTCTCAAACCTGATGGAAATATTAGGCCTAGAAAACGGCAGCCAGTGACCAAAGCCGAGGTTACTTTTTTTAAAATGAGTTTCCATCGTAACATTTTCGTTTCTTTTTCCCTTAATGGTTTGTCGTCACGTGTCGTTTGTTTATTCATCTCTATAGCTCAAATTGAATAGCTTGACCGTGAACCTGGTATGAATCAGTTTAGAATATAGTATGAGTTGATTAGTTTTGCATCCATTCTCTCTACAGCAAGAAATTTGTGGTCTAGATATTTATCTCGATCGTTTAAAAAGGTAATATTCATAAACTAAAGGCACGAAGTAAATCATATAGATTGATATGATCTGATAAATTTTTAATCTGATAACGTTGACTTATTAAACGATTTATTATTAAACTTATGCCAGGAGACTTGAATTAAGAAAAAGAGTGAAAAGTTATTTTCATTGTAGATTTATATTTGATCCGTAAAGGCATACATTCATGTAATAAGTCGTACTTCGACGGACAAAACACATGTAGAGGTTGATTGTTCTTTTAACCATTGCACTTATTTATTAAGTAAAAGAAACAGGATGTGGATCATGGGGGTAGTAGTGCCAAAAATAACGTAATGGCTGCTAATCCTTTACTTACTAAAACTGTATCGGAAATTCCACTTAAAATACGATTTAAAAGAAACAATTGTATTCAAAGAGTGATATCTCAAAGAGACTGACTGGTTTAGTCACTGACAGTGAAATTTTCAGTTGAAAGCGCTGCCGAAATTACCGTTGAAAACAAGGACGTGTGGAACTAAAGAGTAAGTTATGTGAGGATGCAGTTACATTTTTAAATTTATATAGGTGGACACGTTATATTTTATACGCTTTGCTATTTTGTTGCTTCCACAACTTTCTTAATAGTGTTCTTGCCGTCCCCTCGTTTTATTCTTACCCTTCTGTTCTTTTTCGTTTTCTCATAATCTCAAGAATTTTGAAACCATTTTCTGGTTTCGCGTATACATTTCATTTCTTCCTAGTTAATAAATTGTTACGTCTTATACAGATACTTTTTTTGTTACTTGTACTTGTTGATTTCCTTTACCTTTTTCCTAAATGAAGGAATGCAAATTACACTATCATACTTCAAGTATTTCATATCGCTTTATAAACTTTAAATGTTTGTAAAATTAGGAATTCAGAATCATTTGTATAGTTAGGTTATAGGACTTCAACTTGTTTAAAGAGCTTTGTTCGCTTTTTTGCAGCACAATTTTTTTTTGAATGTGATATTCAGCGTCAATGAAGAACATGCTTCAGGTAAATGTAGGTTGGGGATGTGGCAAATGCACCCTTATTATCCCGTTATTGTTATATTTAGGGCAATTTATACTTTGTTGCAATGTTGCAATCAGTTCTGTGTACTCATTGACAACAGCCAGCACTTCAACAACTAGTATCCTATCATTAGCACTTTGCCTAGTTCCTTTTATTATTCAGTCAGTAATATTTACTGTATTCACCATGTTCCAAACATATTCATAAAGGAAATGAAATGCGGAGAGTGGGAAAAGGGATGATATTCCCAACAGTCATAGTTTGAGTTTAGTTGTTGCCATGTTTTATCTGAATTAAGATGTAAGCGTTACTATTAAGTGCCTCTGATTGTTGGGAATTGATGGTGTCTCTCGCTTCTTTTAACAGCTTCTACAACGCTGTACTATATCAGCGAATGAAAAGCCTGGTGCCCGCAACCCAGCACGCCAAGAGGACTTAAAATAACGCATTGGTGGTTCGTGTCATGTTACAATTTCGTGAATGTTCGGAAATAAAGTTTTATCCTTTACTTCCTACCGTGCTGTACTTGAAAATCGGTCATTATCTTAAAGTCTTCCGTGGTACGCGGAAATCAAACATTGTTTTCCTATCATTTTGCATTGTCTTATATCTGGCGTACTGTTGCCTATCTTAACTGTATTGTCGCTTCCCCGGATTGTTTTCGGAATTGCAAAATCATGTTCTCTTTTTTTTTTTTTTTGAGAAATGTTAAGATCAGCTTTCCAGTTACTTATCAAGTTTTTATACTGGCTTCAATAAATTTAGTATTGTACAAATAATCTCTTAGTAATCCAATACCAACATGGGAATTCAGACCACTGGATCTCCTATGCGGTTTTAAGCAACTCATGTATCTAAAATCCTCATCCCACGTGCCTCTCACTAATTTAAGCATTTGGCATGTAAAGTTGGACTTGGGATCTGTGGATTCCAAACAGGTTGCTCTGATTTCGTGTTTGGTGAGAGTAAAGGTGAATATTTCAGGGGAAGTGGATTCACAGGTGGACAAGGAACAGCAGAAATAGCCGCTAGTTCAATTATTTCTAGAGAAGATGTTGGGTTTGAACAAAGAAATTACGTACAACAACCAACCGGTAAGCGTTTGCGTATAGACGATGGCTGCTTCGATACGTATGGCGCTGGTGCTTTCAGTTCAGCCGAAAAAGTTTGCAAATCTACGGAGAAAGAAAGAAACAGTGAAAGTTGTATCCAAGGTATGACACCGAAAGGTTGGGGACAGTTGCCATCCGCCACTACTTTCAGTACATTTTTGATGGATGATCGACGTCAAGAAAAGGAATCCTTGAAGAAAGAGTTGGAAGAGGTATTGAAAAAGAAGCCGGACCAAATGTACCTAGAAGAAATATTAAAAAAGAAACCGGATCAGGTACATACTGGAGCTGAGCTAGACTCAGCGAAACCAAGATTGGGAAAGGAAAAGGATCCTCTTAAGCGTGTATGCGATGGTGACTTACTACTTGAGAAAGAAAAGATGTTTGTCAAAGATCGTTGTTCGGGGAAGCTGAAGAATAAAGAGCCGGAGAAAGAGAAGAAAAGTGAGAGACATTACAATCTTGAGAAGGTGAAGGAGAATGGGCGAGAGAAGGGGCAATGCCATATACAAAAAGCTCTTGAAAAGGGAAGAGAACAAGGCAAACGTGACGAGAAAGTTCTGGGAATGGTAGATGATGACAAGAAAGAAGCACAGCAAGATCGACAGAAAGAGAAGGGGAATGATGGGGAGAAAAAGAAAGGCAGTGGTGAAAACGATAAAGGGAAAGTTAAGAAGATGGGGATGGTTGGGGCAAAGTTGGGAGATGTTTCGTGTCGTTGTATTATTACGAATGATAAGAAACATCGGGAGAAACTGGGAAAAGCTTCTGGATCTGTAGAGCGGTGTAAGCGGAAGAGTATCGATAAGGATGAGGGACGTGGGAAAGGTGATGAGAAGGACGTGAAGAAATATATGGAGGGATGGGGGTGCTCGACCGAGACAAAGGAGAGAGGGAAACATTGCAACGAAAGAACTGTTGTAGAGGAGAGGCTTAAAAGTCGTGATCAGGAAGTCAAGGATAAGGAGAAACGAAAAAAGCATTTGACTAATCGAGGCAGAGAGTATAGCATTGGGAAAATCAGTAAAGGGATCGAGAAGGTTTCTTCTGGTGAGAACGACAATTTTGATATTTTGCGTAATGTGGAAACGAGCAGTTTCAGCAATGTAAAGACGAAGGATTCCGGTAAGGATGAACTTATGGGTGATTCAAACGATTCCGATCTTCCATTCGATCCTGTGCAAAAAACTGAGCGAGGTAACAGTATTTCATTAACTCTGCCTGGTCTGCTTTAATCAGCTTCATCTAGGTAATATTGGTAGAGAAATTTTATATGAGAACTTTCAATTTATTACAGTGTACTTACATTTTCTATAATCCATCAAAGCAGCTCTGTTGTTGAGTAATGAAAACATTGAGTTTGTAAGAGCTGTATGTATTATTCTAAAAGTTCATAATTTTTGTTAGATATAAAGTCTTAACAGACGTTATATAGTTGTTAGTCGTCATAGGTGTGATAGATTTACAACATGTGGAAAGAGAAGATTAGGAATTGGAAAGTGGTGGAACAGAAGATCGGTGCTCTTCCACAGTTTATGAAATCTTTTGGTACTTATTATGAACTTCTTTGAAGGAGGTCATGTACGTGAGGTATTTATGTAAATTTTACGCCGCTATCCTTTAATAGGTATAGTTTGGGAGATTAGTTCATATTCCGGAAAATTGTAGCTCATTGTATTTCTAGTATTGGCAAAAGAACAGCTGTCAAAGTGGTGCAGTGCTGATAGTGATATCTTTGGGAGTAGGTCGTCGACTGCTGACTCGCTAACGAAATCTTCGGATAAGGTAATATATCCAAAAGATTTGAAAATTCAGAAGTTTCAGCAGTAATTATGAAACATATCATTGTTGTTTCCATCCGTTTTTTAATTAAGTATGTAAACGATGTAATAGAAAAGGGTGTGAACCTTAATTTGTTTTGTAGTAATACTAAAGTAAACATGAGCTTCCAATTCCTTAAAAGTCTCAGACGGGTATGCGGCGAGTTTACTTTAAACTGATGCAATATAAAGGCCGAGAGTGGAACTAAACTTGGTTATTGCTAGAGAATGACTATACCACTTGCAATCGTTTGAATTCAGTTTTTTTGTTTATTTGAGAAATCAACCACCTTGGACAGTGATGATTCTTTGGATAATATGTGGATTTGTCCAGAGTGTTCCGTGGCATATGTTGAAGGTGCAACTGATATGGTTGGTTGTGATGCTTGTGATAACTGGTTCCACTGGTAAGTTCTTTTTTCAATATATGTCGTGCTACTGTTGGCTACAGTGCATTAATCTACCGAAATATCTGTAATAATTTAGGAGTTGTGTGGGTTTATTAGTGGCACCACCAGATGATGCTCCTTGGTATTGTCAAAACTGCGCGAGAAAAAAGCTTAAAAAAAGAATCGTGTTGAAGAGCTCCACTTCAAAGAAAAGCAAAAAGTGATATGGTTGTGATAGTAGATTAGTTTTTTAATACATTTTTATTCCTTTCTAGTTGTTGGAGGTCAGTAAATCTAAAAGCTGTTCTCGCTGTTATTCATTTAACTCTGTTAGGTACGGGTTTAGGTGAATCGGGTTATTATTAAGGAATTTGTGCTTCCAGCACATGTTCATGTTCCAAATGTATCCGTCCTTCTGAGGAGCATTTTCCATATACCGTTGTCTCTTCGTCTATCTGTATTTCTAAACATGGTTATTATCATGAGCATTTCTATAAATCCTAAGTACTGCCATATGTAGAATAACTACAAAATAAAACCTTGTTAGCAGTTCGGTGGTAAGAAACTAAGCTTAATGTTAATCATGTATTCATTTCGCAGATACAGCGGTCTTATCAGTAGACCAAATTACCGACAGTTATACTAATGATGCCATGTTAATGTAGAGCTGACCTCTTTATTTGTTATAAGTATTTTTAAGGTTGCAATTGTAAAACAGTTCTATTATTTGCTCAACGTATAGTAAGCACTCTTCTGTGACTTCTACGATGTTCGTCCTTTTGATATTTGGAAGCATTATACAGTAAAGTTGCACCAGAAGAGGAGAGCAACATCGTATTTTCATGTGAAGCTTCTCATTTCCATCCTTTTTAAAAATGGTGAAAGAGCTCATAAAGCGATTCGGATGTTTCTAGAAAAGTGTTCATTCTTATTTATTTGATGCTGTTGCTGCTGTTCATTTGTCTCCCCTCTTGGAGTCTTTCCATTTTTACCTTTTTAAGGGATACAAATATAAAATGTTTATTCAGATGCTTATTGCTTGTTTGTTTTGGAATTTAAGTTGCGAGATGCGCCGTCCGTATGTGTATAAGCGCATATATATATATGGCTCAGGCTACTGATTTTATAAAATTTCAGTTAATGGATAAGAGAACTACAAAGACAGCTGCAGATTTCCCATTCAAATCACATCCCGATTATGAAAGCTATTAGCGGAGCAGTCAGATAATGTAAAAATTGGTGACCGGGGGTGATAGGTTAGTAGCGAAAGTTTTGGGCTCATTTTGTTACTTCTACCATTTAGGTTTGGGTCAGTAACTGGCTCGAGCTTAACTCCATTTCCGCACTGTGCAAAAGACAGAAAATACATGGGAATAAGACAGAAGATTTTAAGGTTTTTTTTTCAAACTGTGATATTCTTATTGCAAATTGGATGTCAAATCGCTGAAATGAAGTTCTCGAAAGTTCATTTACATCGGGTTCTTTTGGTCCCTTATCCTTTGCAGCTATGAATTACTACAAAAAATTTGTATTTGCCTGAGGTATTGCTACTTTTATATCTTGATTAAGCATTTAAGAAGTGAACAGTACCTAAAAAAGAGAGGATATGGATAAGTGAGCTAAAATGCTCTTTATTGATGGTGACCTCCACACTTAATTCACCATTTTCAATGCAGTCGTTTTTGTCAAATGGGTTTTCTGCTACCCTTATGCCCAAAAAGATTACGAACTTGAGGGTTATGAGATTAAATAACAGTTTTGATTTTATATAATTGTAAGCAACATTTATTAATGAGTTTTACAATATTCATTAATGAGTAATGAGTTTAGATATATGTCAATATATCTAAACAAAGAATATGTCAACATAAAATTACTGACAGCGATGAGGAGACATGGAAAGTCCTTCTCAGTGGTTTTTTTTTTGCTTTCAATGGTTTTTGTTTCGGCAATTTATATTCTACAAAAGAAATACATTATTCGGTTTTGTATGGTCACAGTGTAAATAGTAAAAGCTGTATCCGTAGTATCCGTAGCAGTGTCGTTTGAACATATTTTGCCGTTGCTATTAAGTAAGAAATTTGGGATTGTCTTAGTTTGGCAAAAGAAAAAAAAAAGAAACGATTAATTCCCTTTGTAGCTTATCATTTGGGTACAAACATAAAAAACGTGCTAATGTGAGTGAAGTGTTCAGTTCAAAGTACGATATAGTGGCCAGTGAAAGGAGAGAACGAGATAGAGGATAATCGAAGTTTGTCATTTGTTCGTAACGGATGTCACATAGCGTCAGCATCGCTAAGGTAAGCAAAATAGATGAACGAAGGCGGGCAATAGTAGTAAAACACTCAGTAGTTGTAGGTAATTACAAGGTCACTATCTGGTTTCCGCCCACCAGCCCTTTATTAAAGATTCAAAAATTCAGAAACATACGTGGCGAAGCATAGCATCTCAGTCTCAAGAGAAAGGCAATGCTTCATTTTTTTTCTCTTCTCCTTCTGGTTTTATTGACTTCATCTGGTATTTCGAATATTATTGAAAAAGTTAGTCTGTTTCGTATTCTTAATTTATTTCACAATTCTGGTAAAAGTTACCAATGGATAAATAGTTCTACGCAACTCGGAATCAAGCGTGATGATTTTGATCAACTTGTTTTAGTAGTACGTAAGTGCAACAGAAACAATTGCTATGCATTAACTTAGTTAAGAGAAGATAACTGGCCAATTCCAATTCAAAAATGAAAGTAGGATAAAGCAAAGTTACGGAAAGGTGCTACATTCTTATAATTTAAACTGTTTGTCCGTATGTCATTTGTACAGTGCCAATTGCACAGTCATCCGTTGAATCAATGGATCATTTTCCCGATGAATTTTTTATCGCAATGAAAAAAGCAAAACTTTGAGCAAAACTTGTGCATTATCGTTCAATAATATTTCTTTAAACAATTGTCATTAAGACGATTTTTTTTTTTTTTTTTTTCATAAAAGCTTCTCCAAACAAAAGTTTGCAGGAAAATGGATTACAGGAGAATTATATAAGAATTGAGATAATCATACAAAAATACAAAGCACTTGGAGCAACGGAAATAGATGAAGTCAAAAATGAACGATACGATTTCCGGTGAAAAGTACTTTCGTGACTCTATCTTGTCTGTCTACAGTAATGTTATTAAAACGAAATGCTGATACTGATCATTCCACACTTGTAATGTCTATGCAATTTCACGCAATTGAATTGAAAATTCTGAAAGGTAGAAAAGGCAATTCGGTCATCACTCCAACTAAGCACCTATTATTTTATCACTGATTTGTTTAGTTCTTTCTTCAGATCAACTTATAAAATGATTACTTAGTAGTAACTCAGACTTTATCTTAAAATAAATGATGCAATCTGACCTCGAAGTCATTCAGGCAAAAAATTTGCGAACTTAGTGGTAAAATTGCTCATTCCAGATTTTGCGCTTGCAACAATGAGACTTCCGAACCAGAAAGAAGTGGCGGTTGTAGCTGTTCGACAGTTGTTAGCGGTCAGACAACTCAAAACTCAATACCGCAAGCACTGTACTCCTCTAGCTGCGTTCATAACCCTCACTACAACAAATGTTTAGTCGCTCAGATCACAGCTAATACCACTCAGGCATTTATAAACCCTTCATTTCAATCAGTCACTTTCTATACCCAATTTTTGAAGAATCACAATTTTTTTGCAGAATATATTGTACATAGAAATTAGGATTGGCCCGTATCATTTGACAGATCCACCGTACCAGTCAATTACGAATTCCAAATTCAAAAACACCGCGCTGTTGTCATGCTCCAAGGATATCCGTTGTCAGGATTGCATCCCTTGCAAAAGCGGATTCATTCAGTAAATATAACAGCTTACTTTTGGTCATGCTTTCCTGCGGCCGAGTATCAGTAAAATCAATTCTGTTGTTGTACAAGCCTAGTATTTTAATATCTTCTAGGCTCAGTTATATCAGTTTGTCCAGTGCCCCACTAGCTGATTCAGAACAATCATATATGTCAGCTGCTGTACGATTCGACAAAACGGAAAAATGGCCGGATAAATTATTAAGAAAATTGTCTTTCACAGAAACAAACATGCAGAATTTTGATAGCGTAAGTATCAAACTGAAAAGTTTGTTTAAAAGTTAGATTTTTTTAAATTTGGATGCTGATGAATCCTGGCATTACTCTTTGAAAATTCTCTAAAGAACAGAATGAAAGAAATAATTAGGTGTTATCCAATTACGAACTTCTTTGCGGACAGAAGTCTTTCTTGAATAGAAATAAACCTAAACAGAGTTGTTCTTAGAAACCCTTATAGAATTTTATCGATTGTTACATAACTGTTACTGGAGTTAAGGAAGATATCGTAAATCTTCACGACTTGTTGTAATCATAATTTGTCAGTTACAATGGTTTTTAAATGCACAGCTCTCATCCGTAAAATTTCTGCTAGACAAATTGTCTCCTTGTGATGACGAAAGGGTTGTAAACATTCTCAAACCAGCTACATACTGATAACTACTTCGATTCTCGCCTAATTTATCATTCAACTCTTCTGCTTTTCAATATTTTGAACAACATGGTATAAAATGATGACATAAAATAGCGGATCTTTAGAGTCTAACTAGGTTTCATGCTTAAAATATTCCGATCTCATGTTTAAAATTTTTCAAGAAATTTCCCGCCTTAAAAAAGGCATAATATTATCATAAAAGTTGAGAAAATAAACAAACTGGATAAGTAGGTACATATTACAAAAGATTTCTTTGTAAGAAAAAAATCACTGCGTTGAATTTCGACTTCCAAAAAACGAAAAAATAATATAATATTATGCCTTTTTTATATTAATAATAATAATATAATATTATGCCTTTTTTATATTAATAATAATAATATAATATTATGCCTTTTTTGGAAGGAGCAGAAAGATCGTCAGGCCAAATTAGAAGGAAGCCATAATTATAATGCTAAATCAAACAAGACTTTGTAATGTAATATTTAATACATTGTTTTAGCGGATTTTGATCAATGATGACAGGAGACTAAAACTTTAGTTTAAGGAAGCTGAAAAATTCCCTTTTGATCATCATCAATCTACAGTATCATGTTCATCACGTGTAATTAAACAAGTTCTGCACTTGCACTCTGTATATGGCCATTTAAATGAAAGGTGATGGATAATTGGCCATTCTTTACATCGTTACTAACCGAACCTTAATTTAGATTGCAAAGATCAAGGAACGCTTATTACAAAGCGCCAAAAAACATCATTTATCACCTGCTCAGTTCAATATTGCTATTTACAAGGATGCTGTAAGACTTTCTTATTTTTAACGGGAATTAAAAATAACATTATTTGCTTCAAATATCTCGATGAAGGTTTTACCCAAACACCATTGCTGTACGTCCACATCAATACTTATTTTTCAGCTTTTTCAAATTCCGTGATGCGCAAAAGGAATGATAGTAGTTCATGATGTTACGTCCTAGACTTATGCTAGAAGTAATAAGAGTAAATGTTGTAAAACGGCGGTAACGGTGGTGCATCGTTTTTTTTTTTTTTTTTTTTCAAAAAAAAAAAAGTCTGAAAATCAAGCAGTTTGCAAAGTGCATCATGGTAAATCGGAAATGACGCGTTTTAATTCAAAAGATGATTAGTACAAACAATCGCTGTATTATGGTATGGGCATATTACTACTCCTCCATTTCTATTCATACTTATGTCTGTGAATGTGTGTCTGTCTGCATCTGTACGTGTATGTATGCGTGCATGGGTGGTATGTAATGGTAATACGATTATAATAAAATACAGGAAATACCTGTGCATACCTGCCCTAAAAACGCACTGAATTTATATGTCCCGTTGTTATTGTCCGTTTCATTCGCTAATTTTAAATTTGTACCGCAAAGAGTGGGTAAAGTCTGTTCAAATGTTATTAGAATAATGAATGCTTACTCTAACTTCCGTGATTATTACCTAGAAGTGGATATTTCGATAAAATATTAGCTTAGTAAACATAAAGGAATAGTAATAATGATAATAGAAAAGCGAATTTTTAAAGGTGTATGTATTATCCAACACAAGACTTCCTTTTTAATTATCAGTTTTTAAAATTCTCTTGCAAGTATAACTATTTCATTTTTTTTTTCTTCCGCTCCAATTGAATAGGCTTTTTTTCGTGGGGTAAGTCACAAGATTATTTTATTATTATCTTTGTAGATTCTAATTAAGTACTGTGAGATCCTAATTGACACACTTGTTTTCACTTCTTGCAGCTTGTTAGTGGACACAATGTTTATCGTAACAAACATGGTGTCGGTTTGCTTGAAGCCAACAGTGAACTTGAACGGATAGCTGAAATGTGGGCAGAACGTTTAGCTAGCAAAGCGGATTGCTTGATACACGACCCATCAAAAAGGTTATTTGAACGCAGAACTTATCCTTGCCTCCTACTTGGAATAATACTCACTTCTAAAAATGTCAAAATAAAGTAAATGTTGAATATAATGTTGTTAGTAATTTTGACTATTAATAGGTTTGGAGAAAACTTATTCTACTACGCGACAAATTTATTGCCAGACGAAGAAACAATGGCACTAATGACTGTACAGAGCTTCTATGTTGAAGCACATGGATATAATTATAAAACGTCAGTTATCAAAAAACTGTGCTTTGAGGAGAAAAAAAAAACTGTCCAATCATCCAGTGCACTACTCTTTTTATAATACAACTAACTGCAAACTTGAATTGCTAGATTCGGCTTTTCGAAAAAGGCTCATTTAATCTTACATCTTTCCGGATTGGTTCATCTTGCTTGAATCTTCTAGGACATGCATGGTCTGTCAATTTAATTCCCGGACTAGCAATACTGCACGAATGATCCTTTCAGATTTATGTTACTATTGCTTATGGCTCATCATGAACCAAATCGAGGTGGTCCTCTGTAAAGGTATCTACAATGTAATGCCATAATGACGTGTTGTGGACATTTCAAATTTAAAGTATATACATATATAGATAGAGAGAGGAAGAGAGACTTCAAACATGGAGTAATATGGTTGTTGCGTATAGTCGTCAACGCTAATGAAAGAGGTCCTTCCGAATCCGGTTTCCGAAAATAAAAATTGATATCAAAAGTAGCTGCATTTTTCAACATGATTTCCCACTCAGAATTTGCACCGGATATTACAACTAACCTTGGATACTGCGAAGATATCAAGCAACGTGTGTTGCAAAGAACTCAGCGCATTTGGTTAAATTTTTATTCTTTCGATTCTGTTTGCTGAAGTTATTTCAAGTCAGAAAAGTAAAGCAAGTTTAGCTTTTGTTAATCTGAACACGGTTTACTAAGAAAAAAATTTCCAAAACGTTCAAGACATTCGATGTTGTAACGGAAGTGCTTGTACTTTCATTTGACAAATTGGAATATGCCATCTATAATTTGTACCGACGGTTATGTACAATGGTCAGAAGTGGAACTACTGGTGAGAAACTGTCGATTAACTAATATGTAATACTTAAAGGTCATATTAAAGAAAAGCACACTTCATTTCTTCAATAAATTTGCATACATTTCTACAGTTATGAACGGTCCGGAAATCAAATTGACAGGCCTAGTATGTCCAACTGTGCTTCGATGCTGTTCAATCAGAGCTAGTCGCAATAAGCTGCTAATGCAAAAGTTATCGGAGAAAAAGATAAAATGATGGGGATAGAAGTTTCCTTTTATAGTTTTAGCTATAAACAATTTGCTCTTATTCCCTTTTTTGTTTCGTCGGAACTCCACAGCTAACAATTACTTCCAGGCATCATCACTTGGATTACCACCGCACTGGACACTTTACTCAACTTGTATGGAAGTCCACAACACAAGTGGGTGTTGGCGTAGCAATGCGAAACTTCAGTGGACGCCGTGTTAACAAATGTCAGCCTGATTTCCCGTCTACACTCATTTATGTTGTTGTTAAGTATGACCCACCCGGAAATGTACTTGATAAGAGAAATTATGACGACAATGTTTTGCCACCCATAGAGTAATATATACACTAGGAAACTGTAAATCCTCTGGTACTTTTCAGGATTTTAATTACGGTTATTCTTCATACGCAAAAAATTGAATAACAAAACAAATTTACCATTATGTAGCAAAAGCACACCAAAAAATGTTGAGGCTAAAAGGGAAGAAAATATACTACATGCCCACATTATTAGCCTGATAAAACAAATTTGCTTATCACAGTATAATTACTGGTAAGCCCGATCGGAAAAAACCATTTCTTTACGAAAAATAAAAAATTTGCAGTAAAAGATCACAGCTGAATCACTTAATATTATTCTCGTTGTTTTAACGATCATAAATTTGAACTTCTTGTGCAGAAGCTGTTATTGATCTCATTAGTTTATCTAATAAAAACATTAATAGGAAACAATGTTAATTCACCAAGCTTACTTGATGCATTTTAGCAAAAACATTTCATAAAACATCTAAAGCACATTCATAGAGCGCAATTGTTGAAATATAAATGTCTCATCTAAATGGCAACAAAAATAGAATTCCATATGATTCCATATATATTTATATATTTATTTATGGTTCACTGAAAGATGATAGCATCACATTTAAGACAAGCCCTACTACATGTATTATACAAATCCCACAGGAAAGTTTCCTTGTTCTGACCATGTGAATTTAAATTAAATCATCCTGGATTTTGATAGAGTGAAGCTTCCAAATCCCTTCAGGCAAATATTTCAAGAACCGAAGAGTTATTTTCACTTTCTGAAGAAAGACACACGGCTTACGGATTGTTTTTCCTCGTGAAAAATATATGTCTTTATTAAGGTCACGGTAAATGTTAGCTAACTTAATCCTAACCACTAAATTTTATGGTTCGTTGATAGCAGGAATTTTAAGCTTTCATCCAAACTTCACCCGTGAAGAAAACAAGCCACTTCCTACCCGCACGTTCATTCCCGCACCTTCACCAAATCCCTTCATATGGTGGTATTTTGCGGCTGACTAAGCTTTTCAGTGAAATGTTTTGCAGATGGAGGGATTTTTGTTAAGCAGATCTAAGATTTGATGGTTTAGTGGATGTAGTTGCTATTAGATATGATAATCGGACATTATACGGCGACTTGAAGACAGAAAAGGACTACTTAACTGACAGGATTTAAGACTGCTCTAGCTTATTGATCACAGAAAGAGATACCATTGACAATAATAAGTTTAATGAGATAACATCAATCGTTTTGATAACAGGAACTACCTTGGTAACGTGCACGATAGTTGGACTTAATTTTAGGTATAAAGTTTTGTGGGATACAAATGAATTATAGTCTGGATTCAGTTCGTCGTGCAGATTATCATTTAAGACAAGATGATCGAGAATGAATCAGTATTTATCTCTCCACAGTCTTTCCCATATCTTATTATTTGAATTAATTTATTATACCATCTTACAAAGAAGTCAAGCAATACGAATTGTCGGTACTTGGAGTTCACGCAGTAGCCGATTTTCCGTTCTTGCTAAATTTGGCTTCCAGCAGATCGATCCATTGGATGCGGAGCATAGTCGTGGATTTGTTTACGGCAATGTATCATCAAAGATAGTTAATGGTGGTAATCTTTTTTTTACATTTGCTCCATTTTGAAAGATTAAAATTCTTTCCAGATATTGGATTTGTTTTACTATTTGACTTCATTATAGCACAAGGAGTGCTGCTGATTATACCGAGATCACTTGTCAATGGATTTATTAATAAGGCAGCGCCCAAACAGTCATGTGACACTTTGCTAAAGGTATTTGATGGGAAAAATTTGATATTTCCATGAAGTTTATTGAACCACATGATGCTTAATCATTTTGGTTTGCAAAAGATTTCACACTTTTCGCTGTTTACTGTACATCCACAAAATTTTAAAAAGGTTCATCGAAATGTTTCAGTTTCACAATAAATAGTCTTACCATTTATTTCGACACGATTATAACTTGTTAGGGTTGTAAATTTTGTTAATGAGCTTTACATTTTTGCTCAGAATTACAATTTCGAAAAAGATTAAATGAAAAAACTTCATCTCTTCTCTACTTTTTTCAGAATATCAGTTCACTTGCATTTGAAACGAAATGCTTTCCAAAAGGTAAAGACGACCTAATGAGGTGGATCCCATGTCCAACAGGAAAACTCTGTGTTGAGGAAGATATGCTTGGGAAGGTTCCAGTTTGCTGTTATGTGCTATTTAACTTTCTAACTGTTTTTTTTTTTCTTTTTTTTTTTATTTACGTGGCGTCTAGTATGTTGGCATTATTGTCCGAAACTTTGTTTTGCAAATATTTTGTTTTGTTCATTATAATTTTTTGAAGAATAATTTAAATATGATTAGCTAAAGGTAAACTAAAGTTGACATTATCATGGTGGGTAAGGTATATAGCAACTTAGTTAAGTATCTGATAAGTAGCTGACGTCATTGACATTGCTCTTTAGGTAATAAATGGTTCTCAATTGACTCTCAGGATTGAGGAACCATCAACTCCCCAATATTGGTATGTGATAATGGCTGCCTGTTATTTGGATTCTTACTGTTTATGGAAACCTTCAGTTAAAGAGATTACTGTACGTTATGATTTATGGCTCACAAATGGAAGCCCTCTTATGCGTTATTTGAATCCATTCGGTCATCAATTCAGTTTCGAAGAGCAAGTATGTTTTGCAATTTTCTTGCTCAAAATGAATAAAATTATATCACAGTTTGAAATTTCGTATGACTTCTAGTTTCTTTTCTTTTTCTCAATATCATTTTCCAATTTGTTTCTTGTTAATTTGGTCATTTACAGAATTCCGCTGAGATATATATGCTTTTGTTTATACTATATATAGTAGTTGGGTTTTGTCAATGGCGTTCTGTGATATTATGCAACTCTGCATCTATTTTCCCGCGCCATCAGCTTCTTAATTGTATTATTGTACTGAAAGCATTTGGTCTAGCTTTGCACTGCATAAATGTCATCGCATTCTCTTTTGATGGCCAGGTAAACTTCAGGTTCATTTAAATACAAGAATTACAAGAAAAAAATGTGATTTCTCAAACAACATTTCTAACTTTAAGGACCTAGTAATGTTTTATTTTCAGGGAGTTTTCTTTGCTCGTCTTGTTGGTGAAATTGCTCGTTTGATGTCGACGTGCCTTCTTTGCTTACTGCTCATATTGCTTAGCTGTGGTTGGTCATTCGGCAATAACAGTGAAATTTTACTACATGCAAAAGTTGTCGTTGTTTGGGGACTTCTTACGTCTACTCACTTCCTGCTTTTTTTGACCAATTTTGTACGTTTTTGTCTTATTTTCGTTTCTAAAACGTTTGGATGTTTTTCATTCTAGACTAATTTCCTTCGCACTCCATTGCATGGAGAGTGATGAGCAGAAGGAATATATCTAAATCGTGGCCTTCAATTACCTAAACTTCACTTTTTTTTACAAATGTTATTTGTTGAAAAATATGCAGTTTTTCGTTGACGATGTACTACAAGATATCGATATTTTTAAATCTTGGCCAGGCTACGCAATGATTGTCATTCGTTTGTTACAAGCGCTGTGGTTCTTGATAGAAGTTCGCCGCTTGATAAATGAGTTAGTTCTTGTTTAATAGTTTCACCGTAGCGGTTACGAATACCAATATGGTTTTCATTAATCTAAATTTCAGGGAGAGTGATGAGCGGAAGGCAATCTTCTTGGCTCATTTCGGTGCTGGTTTCCTTGTATGGTTTGTTTATATTATGGGCCTTGGAATTATTGCTTCTTTTGTCTCTGCTCTGTGGAGATTTAAAATGATCCTTGGTAAGCTGCTATTTGTTCTGCCTCTATCACCTAAGCTTCATTTTAATTTCTTTACAGTTATCAAATTTCTGTAAACTACAATTACTTCAGTGTTGTTATCTCTATCTCTACTTTCAGTCATAACTACAGCGGCAAATTTTGCAGCAATCGCTTGCCTGGTACATTTGTTTTGGCCTACTAGTTCGAATCGACATTATTTTCTGGCTGATATCACGTAATCCTTTTCTTCAGCATTTTTCATATTTCATATCAAAATTCGTTAGATCCAAAAAATAATAATAACAACTTGTGGAGCAAGAGTTAGTTATAATTGATGCATTTTTTAGCAACTTGAATCATATTTAGGTCACACAGGCGATTTGTTTTGGCCAATGATAATGAAGGCGAGGATTTTGAGAATCTGATGATTAGTGATAGTGCTGATACGGATAGTCTTGTAAGTGGCATGTTGGAAAATATTTCAGTCCATTCCTAGGATGACGAATTATTGACATTTAATTTTCTTGTTGTTCACTGTCTTATTTTTGGCACTGTTGAGAGGTTTGAATATGTCTTGGGAGTACGGGATTATTTTGTTGACCTAGAACAAACTTACTGCAATACCTCTTTGCTCTATTGTTGTCTTTATAATATTTGTCTTTGCTACTGGTACTCATGTTTTGATACGCTTTGTGGAGAAATTATTCCGTGGTTCTTTTTCACCAAAAGTAGGTTATTTCATTAGGCTGCCTTCGCTAGTGGATTGGCGGGTGAAGGGTGGGTGGTACGGATTTGCTTAATTCCTTTTTTTGATATGTTTTGTTTGTTTTGAAAAATTTGCGGTGATTTCTTGTGATATGTTTTCTTTCCCAACATATTTTTGGTCTTACATTTCATATGTTTTTCACTAAGTTGGTTACAGTAAACTTTGAATAACAAATTGCTAATTGATTAGCAATACAATTTTAAACATTATTATCATATAACAATATTACAACAAAGAATTTCGTGAAGTTAAATTATGGGGTCATCAAAGAGATACGAATGAAATCAGTGGAATTATTTTAAAACAATGTCAATCGACAGTGAATTTTGTATTAATAAATCAGAAATATTCCTTTATTCATTATCGGTCTCGACAATGTTGAGCATTACCATATAAATGCGTGCCCAGTAATACTATAGTTCTATGGGACAAAAGGGAAGTAGTCAAGAATTACTTACA